AGTCCAACATTAACCCATTAACCCATATGTTCAACACCAATCCACAAAGTCCTCCTCCATCTCACAAAACAGACGCAACGATGCTGACTGCAGGAGAAAAGCCGAATCAGTGAATGTGTAAGCATCTCAGCGCTGGCAGGGGTCTCCACACGGCTGCTCCAGCACTCAGGGGTGCATCGGGGGGTAGGTTCATGTGGCTTCTCCTCAGGGGTGTCTTGCAGGAAGTGAGACTTGCCAGCTGAAGCAGGGAACTGGCTAAGGCAGCTGCACCCTGGTCCGACCATCAGAAAACAAGAGACCAGAGAATTCGGAAGGCAAGGCTCACTAAGCTATTTATCCCTCCGCCCTTCAATGAACCCTACATGTGTTTATCGGTCAGGTTGGCACAATAAACTAACTACCTCACACAGCATGAGGAAATGGTGTGGGGGCCCTGCCTGACCTTCTCTGACTGCATAAGGGGAAGGACAGTTTGCCTACGAAATGATTCCTATACAACCAAGGTCAGACATGCTTCCGCCTAGCATCCTTCTTTATCCTGTTCTGATACCAGCCATTCCTCCCCTGACTGCTGTGCTGGGTCTAATACTCTATTGTAATAGCCTCATAGAACTCACAGGCAATACTCACAATTACAGAATATATTACGAAACTTAACAGGTTATGTAAGTCAGGATATCCAAGAAAATTAAGGATATCGCACCTCTTCTTATTTTAATAAATCATTTTATTGGGGCTCTGACAACTCTTATCACAATCCATCCATCCATCCATTGTATCAAGCACATTAGTACATATGTTTCCTTCATTATTTCCAAAACATTTTCTATTTGAGCCCTTAGTATAAGCTTCTCTTTTTTCCCCTCCGTCCCCCACCCTCCCACTGTCGTGAACCCTTGAAAATGTATTAATTATTTTTATTTCTATATTTCACACCGTCCACTGTCTCCCTTCACCCACTTACTGTTGTTTGTCCGGGTTGGGGTTGGGGGGGGTGTACATCGCTCACTGCCATTGATTCCCCATTTCTCCTGTGGCACCTCTTCTCACCCTGCTGGCAGGCACTTCCCTCTGATCCTCCTCCGGGCAGTCATGCAGTGCCTGCCCTCTTCCTAGCTCAGGCCAGGGTTACAGGTTCCTTAGCACTGATGAATGCCGAAAGGGCGCCAGCCTCCTGCCCAAAGGTACTCAACTTTACTTCTTCCAGGGGCAGGAAGCTCAGTGCTTGGCCTCCTGGTCTCTGCTTTTGCTCCTAGTCTTGTCTTTACTCCTCTGCTGATATGCTGACGGGCATCTCAGCTGCGCGTCACTCCTGTTCTTCTTTCTCGCTGATTGTAGAATTCTCTGCTTCTCCCCTGAAATCGCTCCTTTCAGACCCAGCAGAATGGCAAAACTGGCGAGTGCCTTGTTTGCATGTTCTCTTGGGAGTGGAAGAGCCAGCCCAAGTAATTTCTCTTCATCAGACAGAGTGGCCGCAGTCTCTGTTCTGGTTGTGCAGTTTCCAGTGTTTGAGTTTTCCTGCCGCTTGTCTTCTCATCTTGCTTTAGACCTTTTTTCAGTAGACCTCTATTCTCAGGGTAATAGCCTTTATTTTATATGCCTTTAGCACTCTTGGAAAAAGACTGGGCTTTCTGCTCCCGTGAACAGTTACAGTCTTGGAAACCCACAGGGGTCACGATGAATCAGCACTGACTCAAGAGCAGTAAGTTTGATTTTGTTAGCACTCTGCTACTTTACTAAAAGATAGTTTGGGTTCAAAGACCATTTAATTTTAGTGGAAAAATGCAGAAGACATGGGCAGTTGCTGTTGGTCAGGATAAGCTTCACTCTGAGTGATTTTATTATTATGATTTAAGATCATTTTATTGGGAGCTCTCACAGCTCTTATAACATTCCATACATCCATTGTATCAAGCATATTTGTACATATGTTGCCATCATCATTTTGTAAACATTCACTTTCTATTTGAGCCCTTGGTATCAACTCCTCTTTTTTCCCTCCCTTCACTCCTCCCACCCTCATGATCCCTTGATAAATTATTGTTATTTTCATATCTTACACTGACCACTGTCTTCTTTCACTCATGTTTCTGTTGTTCATCCCCCAAGGAAGGGGGGTGGGGGTGGGTTATGCATTATCCATTGTGATTGGTACCCTCTTCCTCCCCCTCTCCCCTACTTTCCCCCTACCCTCCTGGTATCCCTACTCCCATTTCTGTTCCTGAGGGTTTATCTGACCTGGATTCTGAGTGTTGTGAGCGCTTATCTGTACCAGTGCACTTGCTCCGGTCTAGCCAGAACTGAAAGGCAGGACTAGGGTCATGATGGTGGGGGGTGAGGAAACCTCAAAGAACCAGAGGAACATTGTGTGTTTCATTGGTGCTATACTGCACCCTGGTTGACTCATCCCGTCCTTGTGACCCTTCTGTGAAGGGGTGTCCTATTTTCTACAGATGGGTTTTGGGTCTCTACTCTGACCCCCCTCATTCTCAACAATGTTTTTGTTTGTTTGGGGTCTTCTGGTGCCTGTTACCCAATTCTATCAACACCTCATGATCACACAGGCTGGTGTGCTTCTTCCATGTAGGCTTGTTGCTTCTCGGCTAGTAATTTAATTTTTTGAAAGGTTACCCTTTCAGCCATCTGGAATTTATTTTGGGGTGTTATATGCCAGGTAATATCTAGGATAGGTGCTTTATATGAAGTCTCCTGTTTAATCCACACATCAATCCTCTAAGATAGCATTTCCCAAATGTTACTCAGCAATTCTAGTACCATTTATTCAATAATTTCCCCAATTGCCCCTGGCCTTGCAAAGCTTACGTTATCACATAGAACATTTAAAAGTATGATTTGAAGCCATTTTTCTGTGTTCTCTGAGATGTTTTTTTAATGATTTTTATGCAGAGTCCCATGCCACTTAAGTTACTTTTGTGTGCCTTGAATATAATAAATTATAGTGCTGGTCCACCTCTGATTTATTGTACATATTCATTTAAGACTAGAAGATAATCAGTATGATATTTTCTTCTTCTATTTTTTATCACTCATGCATATGTGTTTTTAAAAAGAGATAATCACAGCAATATCAAATACTCTGTGGTTAGAAGGATGTCATTCTCAGAGGTAACACCCTTTGTTTTATGTGTCACTCTGCTATTTTGCTGAAAGATGACCTCCAAGGATAGTTTCAGTTCAAGAACACCCACCTTTTATCTTATTTGAAAATAGTACGGTTCTTCGAAAGGCCATATAGAGGCCAACACTTGGGGTGTTTTTCACTGCCTCTCAGTGGTAAAATACAAACAGAAGTTAAGGAGCTTTCTTGCACAACCTCTAAGTTTAAAATATGTGAGGAAATTGGACTGTATGCAGAAAATACTCACCATCTTTTTTTTTTTTTTGCACCCTTCAGCGACTCTTCATTGATGTCCCAGAAGTGAGGTGGCCCAGTCTGGGTAGCAAGGAGGCCGTGATGTATCTGGAGGGGGGCTCGGTGACAGTGTCCTCGCTGGATGGCCATGCGTACCTTTGCCTGCCCGAAGCCCAGCAGGAGTTTACAGTCTATTTTTTATGTAACATTAGCCAGAAGCCAGATTCATCTGTGGTATGGTCAGAACACAGTCAAGCCAAAAGGGGCCAACTAGTTGAAAAAACCAACCAAAACTGTACTTTTACAAGCTTATCGGGACAGAACCTAATGAATAAAGAAAGGTGCCATATCATGAAATCGAAAGGACCTTTAGAGAAGAGCTGTGGAAGCGAAACTGAAGGGAGGGAGGAGCTGCCCTTGCCTGGCACGGAGCACACGTGTACACACACGTGGGTACAGCAGCGTTGGTCCATGGCCTCCTATCCAAAGGAATGGAAATACCCTTTGTCTTTAGCACTTAAGTTCCGTAATCAAACCAGTGAAATGCCTAAAAGTGATGCAGATGCCGCCCAGGATAGAGTTTTAACCGCTGGTGTTTCCGAGGAAAAAGGAGAAGCTGTTTCTGTTCTTCCCAGAGCCCTGCCACTCAGCTGTCCTGTCCCCCACCTGCACAGGTAATGGAAAATGCTTCATCTCTTATCATGCGTTTGCCAGAACCAGTCTTGACCTGAGAAGGCTGACCCTCCACTACAAGACTTCATTAGGCACAGCGACTCTCGAGTTGACTCAGACAGAGCCCCTGCTTTCTGGGAGCGTCGAGTCTGCTGAGGTCACTGTCCTGGGGAGATTATTAAAGTGGTGAGTGAAGACACAGGGTTCTGGGAGTGAGCCCGGAGGAGCATGGCTACAGCTCCCTCGAGCTCATCACTTTGGTTGCTGGAGCATGGTTTCCACAAGTTTATGATCACAAATCCCCCATCCCTGGCCTCAGAGGTTGCCCTTACCTTTGGGGTCTACATGGAGAGGCATTTGAATGGTTAGCTTTGCCACCACTAAGAGATGAAGGGTGGGGGTGTGGATTAGGCAAAGGGCTGCTACTTTAAGGTCAGTGGTTCAAACCCATCAGTTGCTCTGCAGGAGAAAGATGAGGCTGTGTGTCCATAAAGATTTATCATCTGGGAAACTCTATACCATTATAAGTTGGAAGTGACTCGATGGCCGTGGTTTCTGTTAAGAGATAAATAATCTAATAGTCATAGATTTGTAGCAGTTTGTGAAAGTAATGCAATAATACTAGCTAACGCCTATGAAGTGCTTGTGTGTGAGGCACTGTTGTGAGTCCTTTGCTTATTTCATCCTCATTTGTCCTATGAGGGACATACTGTCATCTCAGTTTGAGACACAGAAGTGTTAAAATAACTTGACCAAGAGCAGACACCTAGCACGTGTAGAACTGGAATTTGATCCTTGGAAGTCTGAGTGCCTAATTGCTCCTTAAAATAAAACACGAGAATGATTTTACAGGCTTTGGTGTTGATTTAAATTTTAAAAATTCTACTGTCGTGCTTACTCATCAAAGGAGAATTAAGGACTGACCTCTTGAATGATGGGATGTCTGGATTATGTCCTAATATAATGATTTGGAGAGAACAAAAGAGAGAGAATTGTGGTTCTAAATTAATTCTTGAGTAACTGACCTTGGGTTGAAATCCATCATGCTTCACAGCTGTCTATGATCTGGTCTCTTGCTATCCTTGCAGCCCTTGGCTCTCTCACCTCTCTTGCCCTGCTTTCTCTACTCTAGCAACTGGACCTCTTGCAATTGCAATTCCTTGACCCTTTCATCCTTGTGCATGCTGCTTCCTCTGCTAGGAACCCATTCTCTGCCTGGCAGCTTGCACTCATGTTCAGGTCTCAGCTTACGCCTCATCTCCTCAGGGTGGTTTTTCTAGGTTCCCTAGACAGAGTTCAGGTTACATACAACCCCAAAGCACCCAGTACGCCTCCTTGCCTATACTTGTTCAATATTTATGTCAGATCAGAATCTCCATTGAGGGCAGGGGCCAGGTCTTCTTTTTTGGTGTTAAATCTTCAGTGTGTTTAACAGCACCTGGCCCACCATAGATACTATAGTACTTGTTGTTGGAATCCAGGCTGTATTTTAATGGCTAGTAGAAATTGTCAACTTAGCATCATCAGAACAAAAAATCTTGCCATAGTGAATGATGAGGGGAGTGCAGAGTGGAGATCCAAAGCACATTAGTAGGCCACTGGAGATCCCCTTGCAGAAGGGTCTCGGGGAGGAGATGAGCCAGTCAGGGTGCGATGTAATAATGATGAGAAATACAACCTTCCTCTAGTTCCTAAGGGTTTCCTCCCCGCTCCCACTACCATGACTCGAATTCTATCTTGCAAGACTGGCTAGACCAGAGGAGGTACACTGGTACAGATAGGAACTGAAAATACAGGGAATCCAGGACGGATGAGCCCTATAGGACCAGTGGTGTGAGTGGCGAAACAGGGAGGGTAAAGGGAGAATGGGTAGGAAAGAGGGAACCGATTACATGGAACTGTGTGTGACCTCCTCTCTGGGGGACAGACAACCAAAAAGTGGATGAAGGGAGACGTCGGACAGGGCAAGATATGACAAAATACCCATTTATAAACTATCAAGGGCTCATGCGGGAGGGGGGAGCGGGGAGGGAGGGGAAAAATGAGGACCTAATGTCGGGGGTTTAAATGGAGAGAAAATGTTTTGAGAAACGATGTACAAATGCGCTTTACACAATTGATGTGTGTATGGATTGGGATAACAGTTGTATGAGCCCCTAATAAAATGTTAAAAAAAAACCCAAAAAAAAGACCAAAAAAAAAATTTTTTTTGAGAAAAAAACTGTAATATCTGTGAGGTGTGATAAAATGAGATTTGCTTATAAGTTCTATCGCCTTCTCTGCTCAATATTAGATATACATAATCACCAATAAATGATGCACAAAAAAAATTGTCAACTTACAAATAATAAGATTATGGGAAATACATGGAAACATAAAACTCATTATATTAACACCCTTTTAAAAAAATATGCAATGGATTAAGCAATAAATAAATCTTGTTATAGTAGCACTGATAATTATGCTTAGCAACCAGAATTCACAGCTTGTATTTTATCCTTCACAGGTGGAATTTCTGTGATTCATATTTACAGAGGGGGTTTGATGAAGAATATTCCTACCCTGAACTAGTGAAAGTGGTTTGGCACAAAGGCATTACCTACAGGTAAGACCCTTGTACTGGAATCAGAGCTATGTAGTGGGGTCACATGGGACAAGGCTGGCCTTGGCAGGCAGACTTTACAAGAGGACAGTTCTGTTAGAGCCTCCAGGCTCCTCTATTTTGTCCTAAGTTTCACAGGTCTCAAAACTTGATCAGTACCCCCAGGGCTCTTGTAACTAACTTAAAATAACTGTATTCATAAGACTTCTGTGCAAACCAGGAAGCGGGTGAAGGATCAATTTTGTTGGTCAATGAAATATTTCTATCAGCTATTTCAGATACCCCTCCCAAGCACCGTGGGATCTACCTGTCTGAATTAGTCATCAGACAGTTACCTAGTTACCATGAAACTAGAGAAGTTAGGGAGCCTTAGTAGAAATTTCTCTCTTCGTTCATGCAGCAAGTATTCTGTTGAATTATCTAATCTGTTGAATTATCCCTACCCCACTGGAAAGCACATCTCTCTAGGCCAGATTCCAAATTTTCACTTCCGTGCATTAGGCTAGAAAAACACATTTCACTCTTTGTTCTTCGAGCTCTCAGTTTCCTGCAGGAAGACTCACTCCCTTCTGACAACATATTCTTCATACGTTTCAATAAAACCAATTTGACCTGCCATTTTTCATTGGATTACATACACCAATTATATCTGATGTTCTAGGTAGTCACACCTTCTTGGAAATGGGTTCTTCTACAGATGACTAATCTCTTCCATCAGTTTGATTCTTGGAGAATAATGTTATTATTTAATGCCTATACAATTGTCATTGCTTGGGTAACTCTTAGGTGCCAGCTGCTGTGATCCGTAGTGGGGATAGCAGGATCACAGGACAAGATGCCTGACTTCCAGAAGCTTAGGAGCTGAGTTGCTGAAATACAGGCATAAAGCAAATCTATATAGTCTATTTTTTGACAGAAAGTTTTCTTAGCTAGTTGGGGGCAGCATATGAGATTGTTTGCTTCTCTGGATATTCAAAGACCATATGCCTTTCTTTTTCTCCCATTGGATCTTTCTGAGTACTTGATCAATGATCATCTGACTGTAGGTTGATGCATTTATGTCTGGGTTTTCTCTTCTGATTCATTGGTCTGTATCTCTTGCTGTATCAGTACCAGACTGTTTTGACTACCATGGCTATGTAGAAGATTTTTAGGTCAGGCACTGGTAGGCCTCCTACTTGCCTGCCTTTCTTTTTAATGACTTCTTTCATGTATATTTTTATCTCAATTCGAAAAAATACTAATTCTTTTTCTTCTTTAGACTTACCCATAAAAAGATGAACTCAATAGAGATTTACCCGGGAGATGGATCTATTTTCAAATCAGAAGGAGCTTATTCTGGGAGATATTTTACATATTATCCCATTCAAAAAGGATCAGAAGAGGTAAGCCCACAGAGAGATCTCAAATCAATAGGAACTTTGATCTCGAGCTGTTTAAATCGTCCTAAATATTTAAGGGGGATGTGGCCTTTACTATAAGCACTGCTTAATATCCTGTAGTCTGGAAAAGTAATATAGTCTAGCTGCAGAGTTTAGAACAATAATTATTAACATTATTTTCTTGTATCCTCAATTACTTTCATCCATTGTCCTAAGCGAAGTGAATTTAAATCAGAAGGTAAATTTCTTCTGTCACAGAATTTCTCAATAGGAAATGCTGAGACTGGAGCATTACTTTTGTTTTCATATAGTACTTTGAATTAAGTTGTTTATAATATTTGCATAGGAAAAAAATTTACTCTTTTTTCCTTTACCATGTGATTATTTACATATCTTAAGCACCTCTTAACACTTAACTCTTTACAAGCAGTTACAAAATCGGACACGATTCCTCTCATTTGTTAAACACAAGGGAACATGATGTATTTATCAGACCATAATGCCATCGTGTGGCTATTTTGTTCATGTGTCTTAGGCTGACATCTGACATCTGACCTCCCAATCTGACATCTGACTATAGAGTTTGTCATAAGATTATAATACTTTGCTTTGAAGGATGGAGTGAATAAATGTGTCCCTTCTATTACAGAATGGAGTATTTCTGTGCTGAAATAACCAGAAGTGCTAGGAAGAAGAGTTAAAAACAGAGCAAACCCTGCCCCTTCCTCTGCATTGGGAATTTTAAACATATACAAAAATAGACCAGTATAATTTTATTCCACTGCCATTAACATAAAAGCACATCCCCTAAACGATTGGGCAGTTATTTATAGGCTATCAAAATATAACTTCAATGAATAAGAGGGGTCTCGTACTTAAAAAATGCGGAGGGGATGAAAAACATTGTAAGATATCTTTGAAAATAATGTAGGTTTTGTGGACGTTAGATGCAGTTTAAATACAGCTTGCTTTGTTGCTATGTGAATGTGTATTTTAAGAAAAAATGACAACATAGGAATGAGCAAAGCTAATGATTAATGAAATTTTAAAACTAATTTGCAGAGAGTAGAGAAGACTTATTCAGTCAGTAACCTTCCTCCAGAGAGACCAGGAGGCCCATTCTCTGTGAGTTCTATACTTAAACAGGCAACAAGGTAAGTTACTCCCAGTCAACTGAATCAAGTGTTTTGCATTTGAAAACCTGGGTATATTTTCTAGAGGCTAGGGATAAAGTTAAGAATTGATAGATACAATATATATGTATATTTATATGGTTAAAAAAAAAAAACTTTGTAAGCCTTGCTGGAGCTCAGATATCACTGGGGCTCAAATATCACTATTTATAAAACAAAGTAATCTCTGCTTTCATCAATAAGATAGATTATTTCTAACGTTTAAATTTAAATATGGAGAAGCACCTATCTATGGAGAGCAGGTGTTTGTAGGAAATAAACCATTTTCTCTGTGTGTATAAGTTTGAGAGTCTACAAAAGATGAAGTTTATTTTGAATATTTGGTTAATATGCTTTTATTCCTCTTAATTAATTTGTGGCATCTAGAAAAATGAAAACAGATGGTTGGATTACTTATTTTTAGAATTTACATCTAAGCAACTTCCAAAGTAGATCTGATCTGAAGGAGCCGAATTTTTATCATTTGATTTTCAAAGAGCAGTTGGTTCACATTTCTACCTGGAAAGCAATGCTAAACCTTTCAGGTGCCATGAATCTGTCTATCAAAAACCTGAACATGCTCTTCATTTTAGAGTCATTTCTTAGCTAAAAATTAGAATAATTGCATAAAGTCTGGAAAAGAGGCCAGTGGAGATTAGTTACTTGAAATTTAAAATGTTATGTGATATCTTATACGTATCACAAGATTGAAAAATGCCACTATAGCAAGTGTTTACTTAGCTTTTTTCATATTCACAGAATTCTTCAACATTGTGCAAACATAAGACTTTCTTTAAGCCATAACTATCATATATGCTGCTGGAAAATGGTATGTGAAAATGATTTCATAAGCAAGATATTTAAATGTTTTTGTATTTGTATATAATACAAACTTTCCAGTTAAAACTCCCTTCATCTAAGAGTAAAAGACTTTGTAACATTAATAATTGGATTATTCAGAGAAATGCTCACCTAAATAGAAAAGTACTTCATTATCAGGCATGTTATGCATAGTTGTTTTTCTTTTTTTGTTCTTGGGTAGAGGAGAAGCAGACACTGATTACACTTGTTAGATTAGCCTTATGTTGTTGGGCCGTCTGGCTCTTAGGCCCTCCAGTCACTTCTGAGTCATAGCAGCCCTATATCATAGAAAGAAACATGGCTTGGTCCTGCAACATCTTCATAATCTTTGCTATGTCTGATCCTATTACTGTAACCACAGACTCTCATCTCATCGCACATCTTCCTCTTACAGACTCGCTACTGAGTATGGTGTGCTTTCTAAAGAACTTTCCCTCATTGATAACGTGGTCTGCTGTCCCGGTGGTTCTCAACCTGTGGGTCTTGACCCCTTTGGGGGTCGAACCACCCTTTCACCGGGGTCACCTGATTCATAACAGTAGAAAAATAACAGTTATGAAGTAGCAACAAAAATAATTTTATGGTGGGGGGGTCACCACATGAGGAATTGTATTAAAGGGTCGCAGCATTAGGAAGGCTGAGAACCACTGCTCTATCCTGACTTCTGAGGAGTGTCTGGCTGACCTTTTCCAGACTGATGGTTCATTCTTCTGACAGACCATAATATATTAAGTATTACTCACTAATGCTATAATTCAAAGGCATCAATTCTTCTTTGGTCTTCCTTATTCATTGTCTGGCTTGGGCATGCATATGAAGCAGATGGAAATACCATGGCTTCTGTCAGGTGTACCTTGGTCCTTAAAGTGACATCTTTGCTTTGCTATCTTGACAGCTGATTCTCTGAGCACTGATTGTGGATCCAAACTAAATTAATTCCTTGATAATTTCGATCTTTTCTCTATCATGATGCTCTCTTGGTCCAGCTGTGAATTTGGTTTTCTGTACATTGAATTGCAATCTACACTGAAGGCTTTGCACCATCAGCAAGTGCTCCAAGTCCTCCTCCCTTTCAGTAGCACAGTTGGGTCATTGGCATGTCAACGTTTGTGAATGGGTCTCCCTCCTGTCCTGAGGCTGCATTATTCATCTAGTTCAGCTTCTTGTCTTGTATTGGGTAACTCTGCACAATGTTGCAGCAGATTTGAAATACGAAAGAGCAAGAATGTCCCTTTGAAGACTTGTGTGCACATGACCTAATCCATGTCTCATATGCATGGGAATATTGGACAGAGAGTGAGGAAGATTAAAGAAGAGCGAGTCCTTGAATTATGGTGTTCGTGAAAAGTGTTGCAAGTGCCATGAGCTGCTAGAGGAACAAGCACATCTGTCTGAAGCAGAAAGACAGCCAGAATGCTCCCTAGAAGCAAAGGTGGCAAGACTGAATGTCACATACTTGAACATGTAATCAGGAGTGACCAGTCCTTGGGAAAGGAGATCATGTTTGGTTAAGTAGAGGTCAGCAAAAAAAGAGGAAGCCCCTTAATGACATATAAGGGGGTACCCAAAAAGAAAAACCGGATTTTTTTTTCAAAGCTATGTATTTAAATTTTTTTTACAAAACAAGCTTATCACCTTCAAAGTACTCTCCATTACATTTAATTCATTTGTCAAATCTGTGATTCCATTCTTGGAAATATTTTCAAACTCATCTGTTGGGATAGCTGACAGCATCTTTATTTTTTTTCCCTCACCTTTTCTGCATCATCAAATCACTGCCCTTTCATGTCCCTCTTCACTCAAACAAAAAGAAGTCACACGTATTGAGGTCAGGTGACTCAGGCGCATGGGGGCAAGAGAGGCTGTTTTGGGGCAAAAACTGGCACACTGACATGGCTGTGGTAGCAGGTGCATTGTGGTGGTGACAAAACCCCATCTGCTGCAAATCAGACCTTTTTTGTTGCACACTGTTACACAGTCATCTCAGAACCTTTAAACAGAAAGCTTGATTAACAGTCTGACCACTGAAAGGAACTCCAAATGCACCATCCCCCTCACATCAAAAGAACAAATGAGCATTGTCTTGATCTTTGATTTCACTTGTTGACCTTTTTTTGGGGTGAGGTGTTGATGGCGTTCCACTGGCTTGACTGATGTTTGGTTTTGGGGTCATAAGAATAGTAAAATGTCTCGTCGCCAGAAATGACCTTGGAAAAAAGTCTGGGTCACTTTGGGACTGTTCTTTCAAATCGTGGCATGTTTCCACGTGGTGCTCTTGTTCCTGTTCAGTCAGAACCTGAGGCACAAATTTCTTACTGACTCTTCTCATTCCCAAATCTTCCATTAAAATTCACTGCATGGAGCTCACAGCAAGATAGTCCAGATAATTTCCCCATCTCTTCAATGATTAATCATTGGTCTTTGAGCACTAGTGCATGAATATTGTCCACGTTTTGGTTGGTTTGGGAAGTTGACGGACATCCAGAACAAGGTTTGTCATTAATTGACATTTCACCTTTTTTGAGATGAAAAAAAACACTCGTACACTTAAGTTTTTCCCATAGCACTGTCCTTATAAGTGTGTTCAATATCACAACAGTTTCTATGGCATTTTTTTCTGAACAGGAACCAGAATTTTACAGCCACACGCTATTCTCTTAAATCAGCTATCACAAATAATGAGGTTCAAGTGAAACTGCTTTGATGAAAATAATTTACTGTGACCAGAGAGACGACACTGGGTACACTAACTCAAAGTGGCTCTGATGCTCACTTAGTGCTTACTACAAAAGCTTTGCCCAGTGGAGCTTTTTCCTGTTTGGGTTTTTTAAAATCATTTTATTAGGGGCTCATACAACTCTTATCACAATCCATACATACATCAATTGTATAAAGCACATTTGTAGATTTGTTACCCTCATCATTCTCAAAACATCTTCTCCATGTAAGCCCCTGGCATCAGCTCCTCATTTTGTCCCACACTCCCCACTCCCTCATGGACCCTTGATAATTTATAAATTATTATTTTGTCATATCTTACACTGTCCCTTCACCCAATTTTCTGTTGTCTGTCCCCCAGGGAGGAGGTTCTATGTAGATCCCTGTAGTTGGTTCCCCCTTTCTACCTCACCCTCCCTTCACCCTCCCGTTATCGCCACTCTAACCACTGGTCCTGAAGGGATCATCTGTCCTGGATTCCCTGTGTTTCCAGTTCCTATCTGTACCAGTGTACATCCTCTGGTCTAGCCAGATTTGTCAGGTAGAATTGGGATCATGATAGTAGGGGGCTGGGGTTAAGCATTTATGAACTAGAGGAAAGTTGTATGTTTCATAGGTGCTACACTGCACCCTGACTGGCTCGTCTCCTTCCCATGACCCTTCCGTAAGGGGATGTCCAGTTGCCTACAGATGGGCTTTGGGTCCCCACTCCCCCTCATTCACAATGATAGGCTTTTTTGTTCTTTGATGCCTGATACTTCATCCTATCGACACCTCGTGATCACAGTCTGGTATGCTTCTTCCATGTGGGCTTTGTTGCTTCTGAGCTAGATGGTAGCTTGTTTACCTTCAAGCCTTTAAGACCTCAGACACTATATCTTTTGATAGCCTGGCACCATCAGCTTTCTTCACATTTACATATGCACCTGCTTCGTCTTCAGTGATTGTGTCGGGAAGGTGAGCATCATGGAATGCCAGTTTAATAGAACAAAGTATTCTTGCATTGAGGGAGTACTTGAGTGGAGGCCCAATGTCCATCTGCTACCTTAATACTAATCCTATAAATATATGCACATACATTTATTTCCACATCCTCATATATCAATATTTTTACATATGTACATGCCTTTATCTAGACCTCTATAAATGCCCTTTGCCTCCTAGCTGAGTCCTCTATTTTCTTTTGCTTTCCTCTTGTCCCACTATCAAGCTCAGCCTTCCTTTGGGTTTCAGTAATTCCTCTCGGCTACATTATCCTTGGTCACGCCCTACCAGGCCTCCTACACTCTCCTCCCCACCGATTTGGATCACTTGTTGTTTCCTTGTCCCTGAGTTTGTTAACACCACTTCCTTTCTCCCCAGCTCCCCCTCTCCCATGTCCCGCCAGAACTGTCAGTCCCGTTGTTTTCTCCTCCAGATTGTTCATCCAGCTTATTTTATTTAGACAGATCTGTGGAGATAATAACATGCACAAAAACAAGACAGAGCAAAACCAAGCAACAAAAGAAAACAAAACAAGAACAACAAGTCAATGACAAAAAAAAAGCAAAACCCCACAACACAACAACAACAAAGAAAAGCACGTAGTTAGTTCAAGGACTATTTGTTGGCCTTTAGGAGTGTTTTCCGGTCAAGTCTGATGGGGTGCCAAGCCCAGGCCTCAAAGTCTATTTTTGGTATTCCGTGGGAACTTTGTTGCTCTGTTCCTCTTGCTGTTCTGTTGCACCCCCTTAGTGTTTTGCCTTGGTGTGGTGGAATCAGATCGGGCGCAATCCCCACACTGTGTCTCCATTGTTGTCCCCTATAGGGCTATGGGACAGTGAGGGATGTTGTGTCTCATAGTGGGGCCGGCCATATGGTCTTCTCTGTGGATTTGCTGCTCTGAGCGGGAATATCGTCCTCAAGGTTTGGTGGGCCAGGATGTGCTCCACCCTCTCTTCCTCCCCCTTCATTTGCTCTGTGTGCTTTGATCAGACATGTCCCTTTCCCTGAGCTGCAGCTTCAGTGCTGTCCTCTGAAATAAATTCTTCTGGGGGGAGAGGTAGCTGTCCACATAGTTGGGATTGGGGCCGCCCCTCAGACCTCTCCACTGGTTCCCTATTCCACCCCACTTTTTCCTGTTTTGTTTTGGTTTCTTTGGGGGGCGGGTACCCCCTTGATGATTGACACAGAGGTTGGCTCAAACACAATTGTGAGGGTGGTGCAGGACCAGGCAGTGTTCTGTTCTGTTGTGCATAGGGTTGCGATCCAGCGGAACCAACATAATGGCACCTAACAACAAACTATACTTTCCTAACTGAAAATTTAAGAATTTTAATGCTGACTTGGAGGAAATATCTACTCATTTGATTACAAACCTACATGGTCCTGTTTTGTCTATGTACAATTCCGAGCCCGACAGTGACTTCACAAAGATATTAGACGTTACCGGTGTTTTAAGTAGTCTATTATCTATTTCTAGAAGATTTAAAATTTAAAACATACTATTCACCATTGGAATATGAATATAACGTTGTCTCACAGTTCATTGATACTCATTTAATTCATGTTAGTGGATAACTGTATTTCCTGTTAATTTTTTACTTGGTTTTAGGTACCTGGGATAAATGACAGCAATATACTACCTTGTCTTTTGAAAGACTCATTCATACCCAGCACAGGAAGATTTCTGGCATATTCCGATGATAAAGTGCATGCCATGTTTTTTGATGGCATTACTCTAACCTTAAATTGGAATTTCAGCTTTTTCTCTGATGAGAGACAGGTGAGGATACTCCAGATAGAAATCTGTGTTCTTGTTTGTTTGTGGAAAACAGGACAAAAGTGTCAGACTATTGTCTTTCTTTCTTCATATAAAGCTCTCTAGAGGCACGTCTGTAGAGTCACTGTGAGTTGGAATCCACTCAGGGCAGTGGGTTTCGTTTTGGTAGAGCCACTATTGATCTCATTGACTTTTCTGGCAGTAATCAGAATGGTGTGACAAATAGTCATTTTAATAAAGGTAACTCGTTATATGGAAAGTTGCTAGTATCTTTATTTTCTTTGATAATTACATATATGGGTGGTGATTATAATACCTGTATCCCATGCTAAATATAAATTTTAAATTAGCCAACATTCGTTTTTCATGATTCATATAGTTCTTTTATTGGAAGAAGGTTGTTTAGCTTGGGGGTTGTTTGGTATTTTTTGTGTGTGTTTCTCTATTTTGGGTTATTTTGGTTCCTCGGTTTTGTTGTGCAGTGATGAAACTTACCTTCTTTTGAAAAAAAGCTTAACCTTCTTGTTTCTTAAGGTAAATCAAAGTGTCAACTTAGCTTGGTGTAAGTTAACTTTTCCCGATGGACAAGATAAGCTAATTCAAATTGAGCATCCTGGACCATATGAAAGGTAGTAAAAAGCAAATTTTAAAATGATTTTCATGTTTATAAATAATTTTCTTTTGACTGACAAGAAGGAAGCATATTTCCCATATTATTCATTATGTCTATTTTTAGGTTCTTCATATAATCCAGTTATTTACTTCTTGCTATCAAGTCGTTTTCTTCTCATAGCAACCCTACAGGGCAGAGTAGAATTGCCACTGTGTGTTTCTAAGGTTAAATCTTCCCAGGAGGAAAAAGCCTCATCTTTCTGCCTTGCAGTAGCTGGTGGGTTTGAACTGCTAACCTGGTGGTTTGCAGCCCAACACTTAACCTACTACAGCACCAGGACACCTTATTTGTCCACATTGAAATGGTTAGATCCAGTTTTTCCATATAGGTAATATAAATGAGACCATTTCTATAAATACCAAAGTTTACAGTTATATTGACTCCTAGCAAAATTAAATGTAAATCAATGAGATTTTCTTTAACAATTTCCATTTCCATGATTACATAACTGATTTACTGTGAAGACTGGGTTGTGGTCAGCTTTGTTAACCAATTAACTTAATCTGTTTCATGTAAAGCAGCGGTTCTCAACCTGTGGATTATGACATCTTTGGGGGTTGAATGACCCTTTCATGGGGGTCACCCGATTCATAAAAGAAGCAAAAGTATAGTTATGAAGTAGCAAGGAAAATAATTTTATGGTTGGGGGAGGGGATCACCACATGAGGAACTGTATTAAAGGGTCATGGCATTAGGAAGGTTGAGAACCACTCATATAAGGTTTCCAATCACATACAACTATGCTTTCTTCTATAAAGTAGAAAAATTAAATAAAATTATTACTATTCTTAAAATAGAAAGTCATGAAATCTGATTGTGAATATGCTTTTTTTATCTTGACTCATGTAATTTTTAATTAGTCATAGCAATTATTAGTGTTATATTCTTGACATTTTAGTGATTTTGTTAGAATACCCTTTAAAAAATTCTTTTTCTGGGGAGAGGAGCTGATAATAAGGGCTTAAGTAGAAAGAAAATGTTTTGGAAATGTTGATGGCAATATATGTACAAGTGTGCTTAATACAACTGAATGATGGATTGTTATAAAATTTGTAAGACACGCCCCCCCAATAAAATGATTAATTAAAAAGACTGTCATGGTTTGAGCCAGGTGCACTTTAGTCCTCAAAGTCCATGCTGGCTCTTCCACAGCTTGAAGAGCTCGTGTGCAGCAGGTTTGTCCAGTGCCGTGCATCATTTGACTTTCTAACCACGAGCATTGATTGCTTGCCCCTCAAAATCCTTACAACTTAAAAAATCTCTTTTCTGCTTCTTAAATCTATTGGACTCTATTACTTTAGATTCATTGGGTTTTATTGTTTTTATTACTCTAATGATCTATTTTGAATAATTTGCCTCAAAAAGACATCATCTATAACAGTGGTTTTATATAATATTTGCCTTTTTTTTTTTTTTTTTATTATTTCTAACAGTTTCACTGCCATACAATTTCATATCACACCTTTCACTATTTCAATCACATTCATGAGACTTGTGCAACCATCACCTCTATCAATGCCAGGCTATTTCTTCTTCCGCGTACCCGCTGTTAGTTCTCCATCTCCCACCCACCTCCTCTGCCATGTCCCTCTGAAACTATTAATCCAGTTGTTATTTCTATAGGTTTATTAAAGTTTGGTTTTTGACTAATATCACTTCACTTAATAGCCCCCAGGTTCATCCATGTCATAAGGTATTTCACAGACTCATCATTATTTTTTACTGTTGTATTTTCATACTAAAAGAAACAGACTTTGATGGTTGCCAGGAATTGGGGGTGGGGGAGGACAGGTTGGGCACAGGCTGGAGAATAGAGGTGACTTAGTTGAAAGAGGGAAAAACAATATGGAAACGGCAAGACAATGGGAGGTTTGATTAGTTACTGAATAATTGCTGATCTGCTCTATAAACATTCACCTAACAAAGTTGTTTTTTTTAAAGACAATGTCTTTAGCAAATGTTTTTTACTATTTGTTTTAACCGTTCACTTCAGACTGTTCATTTTATGAAAAGTGGTACTAGTTTTGTACATTTTTGTGATAGATACTTATTTACTTATCTATGTATGTATGTGTATACGGCGCCCTGGTGGCACAGTGGGTTAGGCAGCGTCAGCTGTTGACGCCCAGCAGTTGCTCCACAGGTGGAAGTTGAGGCTCTCCGCTGCTGCACGATGTACAGCCTTAGAGAGAGACCCTGAGAAGTCGGCTTGTTCCTGCAGGGGCGCGGAGCTGGGACCTCCTGCGTGGCAGTGGGTTTGTGTTTGGGTGTGCAAGGATATACGGATATGGGAGCGATAATGGATGTTTTCTGATTTAAATCTTCGTAAGCAAATGCTCTCTTAAATAATCTACTATGTCTACATTTTCGTGATAAAACTTAGTGAAACTCACTGTGTGTTGAAAAAGTACAAGTAAATGTAAACATTTAAATTTTCACTTTGAACGATGCCTGCTTTAAATTCTCAACATCATCTTTATGAATCCTGTGTGGAAGTCATTTTCTTTTTTATGACTAATGGGAAAAACAAGGGTCGCTGATGGCACAAGTGGTGAAGGTTGGGTTGCTAATGATAAGGCCACTCAGGAGACAGAGGAGGCTTTCTACTCCAGTAGAGGGACACTCAGACACCCACGGGGGCAGTTCTACCTGCCCTGCTGGGTCACCATGAGTTGGAATGGACTCAGGGGCAGTGAGTTTGGGTTTGGTTTACTGGAAAAAACAAGCTTTTTCTATATTCAGAGAAAAAGATCTAGAAAATTCACTGCTAAATGCTTCACTCAAAAGATTTTTCTTTATCCCTTTTCTACAAAATTATCATAATGATTTCCCCTTTGTTGAACACTTTTATAATTTATTTATATTCGTTTTTCAGGTATTTTATCTTACTGTTTTTCAATCTAGATATGTGACAACGGTGATATCATGGTGCAGAACAATGACTCACGTTAATCAGAGAGAGATGCCCATACGACCCTCAAGTTCTGTTCTAGAAGAAAATTGGTATGTTTGCTTGTCTTAACTTAATCTTTTTAGAAGAACCAACTAATACTGAAAAACTAAGGCATCAAATGGTCAACAGCCTTTTACCAAAACAATTTCTTCATTTTAATTAGGTGTTTTTAACTCCTATAATGTTTTTGAGTGTTCAAGCTTAAAAATAACTAGTTTTTATTATTTATTCTGTCTTATTTTTAATTTATTATATTTCATCTTGACATCAGAAAAACTTTGCATTGTAAATGTCGCATTAAAATAGTTATGACCATCAGTTACATAATAAATTCATTCTAAGACTATGGGAAATTTTAAGAGGATTACCATTTCCAATAATATTAAAGGAAATAATGTCAATGAACTTTCAGAAACAGTTTATATTGAAATAATATCTATCATATTAATTACCTCTTCCAAAATTAATGAACAAATAAAGCAAATATTTTCAATTCTATGGGGTAATTTTCATGTCCAGGAGACTAGAACTAGGCTTAAAAAGAATATTTATGAAAAATATAAGACATTTTAGGTAGGAAGCCAGTGCCAATATAAAATGTACATTTTGGCCTTTGCAGAGAGTAAGGAGATAGGGCTTTGGAGCAGACACTCTCTGTTGGATATATGTGAATTTTACCCCAATAAGAGGAAAAGAAACAATCACCATGGAGGTAGGAGAACCAAAGGGACTGCATGGAACAGCACCAAGTGGGGAGAAGTGTGTTTTAGTTTTCTATTTATGGGGTGGTCATTAAAATTTTTAAATAGGAATAAGTTTTCTCTTTTAAATATCTAATGTAATCATAAAGCAAAAAATAATAATAATTCTCAGCAATGATGACCTCTACAAGAGTGAGCACCTCTGTTCCTCTGGTCACCGAGTCCCATAGCTAAGGATGTTCAAATCACCTTTGAGCCCACCATAGCAACTACACATAGAGTCAAGATTCAGTAGATTTTGAGCTCTCATCCTTCCCCTCCCACTTGGAAAAAAATCAAATATCTTTCATACAATACAGAGAGTTAGAACAGTTTCAGGAAATACATTCTCTCAGTAGGTGTGATTTTTTTTTTCCTTCTGGGTCACATGGATTAATAGATGTCAGTCTAATCAACTCAGTTAACATTCGAGGATGAAATCGGCTTGAATACGCAGCTGCAGTTGTAGAGAAAGCACAGTCAGAGGCATTACTGTCAGCCAGCTTTTGCATCCCTTGTGCCCCTACATAGCTGTGGTTCGGAAAGACACAAAGAAAACTTAGGGGCCTAAGGGCAGAGTAGAAGGGCGCCTGTGAGTGTCAGAGACTGTTAACCCTTGATGGGAGCTGACTGGTGTTCTCAAACTGCTGGCCTTGTGGTTAGCAACCAGTGCGTAAACAGGACGCCACCAGGGCTCTTTGAGGAGATGAAGACCTGGATGCTTTGCTTCTCCACGTGAAATGTTCTCCCTCTAGGTGCTTAATGCACCGTGGTTGAGTCATTTGCTTAGCTCCTTTCCAGACAAGGAAGAGTATTACACTTCAATGTGTGTGTGTGTCTCTCTCTTGTCTTTTTTTAATCATTTTGTTGGGGGCTCATACAACTCTTACAATCCTTACATACCTCAATCATGTCAAGCACATTTGTACATTTGTTGCCCTTATCATTCTCAAAACATTTGCTCTCCACTTAAGCCCCTGGCATCAGCTCCTCGTTTTTTTCAGTGTGACTCTTGAAGCATTTTTTGCCCTCTGTATGGTCTCTAACTATTCCTAATCTATTTCTCTGACAGATCTTAAGTACTCTTAGGAACTATGTCAACATGGAGTCACATAAATATAGTTAAGAAAAAGAGCCTAACTTCTTGGTTCTTCTGTTTAAAATTCTATACCATTGGGGGTGGGGGTAGGGAATCAAGTATGTATGAAAAATTTTTAAATCATTTTATTTTATTTTTATTTTTTTTATTTTTTTG